CTCGCCGCTGATTGGCCACCGGAACTGTAGCTCAGGAGAGGCACACAGGCGGCCAATCACCGGCGAGGAGGTGGAGCTTGGAGAGGAGGAGCCGAGCGGCAGCGCGCGTACATCAAAGAAGACCGAGGGAGCTGCCGGAGCGAGTGAAGAGGAGAGCGGCCAGAGAAGGAAGACAGCTGACAGGTAAGTGAGAGAGCGAGCCCAGGCTGGAGCAGGGGTCAGCAAAGTAAGTATCATTGGTGTCAGTGGGAGGAATAGTGCCCCATCATTTGTGTCACTAATACCAACGATGGGGCACTATTCCTCCCCCCACCCACTGACACCAACGATGGGGCACTATTCCTCCCCCCACTGACACCCAAAGATGGGGCACTATTCCTCCCCCCACTGACACCAACGATGGGGCACTATTCCTCCCCCCACTGACACCAACGATGGGGCACTATTCCTCCCCCACTGACACCAACGATGGGGCACTATTACTCCCCCCACTGACACCAACGATGGGGCACTATTCCTCCCCCCACTGACACCAACGATGGGGCACTATTTTCCCCCCCCCCCCCCGACCCCAATGATGGGGCACTATTCTCCCCTCCACCACACTGACATCAATGATGGGGCACTATTCTTCCTCCCACTGACACCAATGATGGGGCACTATTCCTCCCCCCACTGACACCAACATGGGACACTATTTCCCCCCCCCCCCTGACCCAATGATGGGGCACTATTCTCCCCTCCACCACACTGACATCAATGATGGGGCACTATTCCTCCCACTGACACCAATGATGGGGCACTATTCCTCCCACTGACACCAATGATGTGGCACTATTCCTTCCACTGACACCAGTGATGGGGCACCCCACTGACACCCACTGTGATGGGGCACTACTCCCCCCACTGACACACCAGTGATGGGGCACTACTCCCACCACTGACACCAGTGATGGGGCACTATTCCTCCCACTGACACCAATGATGGGGCACTACTCCCCCACTGACACCAATGATGGGGCACTACTCCCCCCACTGACACCAATGATGGGGCACTATTCCTCCCACTGACACCAATGATGGGGCACTATTCCTCCCACTGACACCAGTGATGGAGCACTACTCCTCCCACTGACACCAGTGATGGGGCACTACTCCCCCCACTGACACCAGTGATGGAGCACTACTTCCCCCCCACTGACACCAGTGATGGGGCACTACTCCCCCCACTGACACCAGTGATGGGGCACTACTCCCCCCACTGACACCAATGATGGGGCACTACTCCCCCCACTGACACCAATGATGGGGCACTACTCCTCCCACTGACACCAATGATGGGGCACTACTCCTCCCACTGACACCAATGATGGGGCACTATTCCCTCCCACTGACTCCAACGATGGGGCACTATTCCTCCCACTGACACCAACGATGGGGCACTATTCCTCCCACTGATACCAACGATGGGGCACTATTCCTCCCACTGATACCAACGATGGGGCACTATTCCTCCCACTGACACCAACGATGGGGCACTATTCCTCCCACTGACACCAACGATGGGGCACTATTCCTCCCACTGACACAACGATGGGGCACTATTCCTCCCACTGACTCCAACGATGGGGCACTATTCCTCCCACTGACACCAACGATGGGGCACTATTCCTCCCACTGACACCAGTGATGGGGCACTATTCCTCCCACTGACATCAGTGATGGGGCACTATTCCTCCCACTGATACCAACGATGGGGCACTATGCATCCCACTGATATCAGTGATGGGGCACTATTCCTCCCACCGACACCAGTGATGGGGCACTATTCCTCCCACTGACACCAGTGATGGGGCACTATTCATCCCACTGACATCAGTGATGGGGCACTATTCCTCCCACTGATACCAACGATGGGGCACTATTCCTCCCACTGATACCAATGATGGGGCACTATTCATCCCACTGACATCAGTGATGGGGCACTATTCCTCCCACTGATACCAACAATGGGGCACTATTCATCCCACTGACATCAGTGATGGGGCACTACTCCTCCTTCCACTGACACCAATGACATGGCACTACTCCTCCCACTACAAAATTACAGTTATGAAGTAGCAATGAAAATAATTTTATGGTTGGGGGTCACCACAACATGAGGAACTGTATTAAGGGGTCGCGGCATTAGAAAGGTTGAGAACCACTGCTCTAGGACATTTGCATGTGCAAATATATATTTTTTGTTATTTAGTGTTTTTGTTTTGGTTTATCATTGGTTAATGTTTTCTAGTACATTTTTTCAGGTGTGGTGGCTTGGACATAGTCTGCTGGCCAGTTACATCAGCTGTTGCATACTCTGCCATTAAGTTTATAGGCCAATTAGTAGGCCAGACTTATGTTTTCACCACCATATATATATTTCCCATGTGTCAAGTCATCTTATGGGTTATGACTAAGTGTCAGGAATGGACTTGCCAGCAATGGTGGGACTCGCCTGCCTTTTGATCTGCAGTACCAGGGCTGGCCAGCGGGTGCTCCCAGCAATCAGAGACTCAACTTTGCAGCCAGCTAACACCTGGAACTGATTATGCTGGGGTATTTAAGGGATGGCCAGACTTGCAGACTCTGCCTTGGTGTTGTGTTTGTCCTGGGCCCTGTATCCTGTTTCTGTCCTGCATCCTGTTTCTGAACCGCTGCTGACTTCTCCTGCTCTGATCCCGGCTCGCTCCTGACCATCCCTCTGCCTGACCCTCTGTACCACGCTGCTTGCTACCTGTTCTGATCCCTGGCTTGTGACCCTGACCATCCCTCTGCCTGACCCTCTGTACTACGCTGCTTGCTACCTGCTGAACCTGGCCTGTGACCCCGACCAATCTCCGCTTGCTCCCCCTGTACCTACCTGCCCTATTGATATTGACCCGGCCTGCCTGACGATGCTTGCTTGTATGTACTGTTATCTGTGGGTGGTTGTTGGTTTGGTTTGGTTTGGTTGCACTGTATTATGTTTTAGTATTGCACTGCGTTTTATGTTTGTATTGTTAGTGTTAATAATTATATTGTTTATAACATATCTGAGGTCTGCGTTTCCCTGCGTCAGTCACACACCTCTGGTCACACCTGGGAGCCCTGACATTACACCAAGGCCAATCCTGACCAGAAGTGGCTGCACAGGGAAGCCATCTTGGCTTGTTGCTGGGAAGGATGGATCTGGATGAGGTTGTGTATTTATATCTGCTAGTGTTTGATGACAGGGAGTATGTTTATCAAACTCTGAAGGAGTATCCCAGGGATCAACTACTAGAATGTATACGGCTCGCTCATGTTCTAGTAGATCAGGGCACAGAGTTCTCTGAGGTGCAGCCTTTGATTGAGGTTTGTGCTGAGTTGGTTTCATCTGGTTCCCCCGAATGCAGGGATGAATTTTTGCCACCATTTAGTGCAGACCAGGTAGAGTCCCTGGTGTGGTTATTAGAGGATGATGTGGGTTACTTTCTGGAGCGTTATTCCACATGTTTCACCACAGACACTAAGAGATTGTATAAACGCCGTGCAGTCATTGACCAGACAGGCTTTGTGTAAGCTCAGCTTTGTTCAACCCATACTGCAGACATGGACAGACTTGTTGCACCCAGCCTCAGTCAGCTTACAAAAACCCAGTCCTGCTTCTAACTCTACTCCTGTATTCCCCACCAGCTCCTCCAGTTACAGCCCAGTATACTTGGCTATCTACCGCATGTCAGTACCCTGTTTCCCACTCGCTGCACCTATCCTGCCTTTAACCCTGTAAAAAAGCCCTCTGTAGCAACTGCTCCCTCTCCTGTTCCATCCTCCAGTTTTTCTCTGTCTCCAGCTGCTCCATTCGTTTGCAGACCTGCGTTTACTTGCAGTGCTCCAGTAGTTAAAACCAGAAAAAAGCGAAAATTCTTTCCAACCAATACCATCCTGCCAGTATCCAAACCGGTGAACCTGCCTTCCGTGACTCAGCCTGAAGCCTCTACTCAGCCTGAAGCCTCTCTTCGGCCGGATGCCTCTCTTCGGCCTGAAGCCTCTCTTCGGCCTGAAGCCTCTACTCGGCCTGAAGCCTCTACTCGGCCTGATGCCTGCATTCAGCCTGATGCCGCTACTCAGCATGATGAACTGATCCAGCCTGACGATCCTATTAGGCCAGTTGACTCGATGCCCGCTGTTGATCCAGATGATCTGGTACCTGATCCAGTGCCCGCTGTCGTGCCAATTGACTCAGAGCCCGCTGTCATACCTGGTGACCCGATGCCCGCTGTTCCGCCAGTTGACTCGGTGCCCGCAGTCTTGCCAGACGATTCGGTGCCCGCAGTCTTGCCAGACGACTCGGTGCCCGCAGTCTTGCCAGACGACTCGGTGCCCGCAGTCTTGCCAGACGACTCGGTGCCCGCAGTCTTGCCAGACGACTCGAAGCCTGCTGTTCCGCCAGTTGGCTCGGTGCCCCGCAGTCTTGCCAGACGACTCGGTGCCCGCAGTCTTGCCAGTTGACTCGATGCCCGCTGTTCCGCCAGTTGACTCGGTGCCCGCAGTCTTGCCAGTTGACTCGGTGCCCGCAGTCTTGCCAGACGACTCGGTGCCCGCAGTCTTGCCAGACGACTCGGTGCCCGCAGTCTTGCCAGACGACTCGGTGCCCGCAGTCTTGCCAGACGACTCGGTGCCCGCAGTCTTGCCAGATGACTCAGTGCCCGCCGCTTCGTCTGAGGGCCTGAGACCTGTAGCTCCGCCTGGGGGTCCGGCGCCCGCCGCCCCGCCTGGGGGCCCGATGCCTGTCGCCCCGCCTGGGGCCCGATGCCTGTCGCCCCGCCTGGGGGCCCGAGGCCTGTCGCTCCATCTGGGGGTCGCCGCCCGCCGCTCCGCCTGAGGGCCCGAGGACCTGTCGCTCCATCTGGGGGTCCGGCGCCCGCCGCTCCGCCTGAGGGCCCGAGACCTGTCGCTCCATCTGGGGGTCCGGCGCCCGCCGCTCCGCCTGAGGGCCCGAGACCTGTAGTTCCGCCTGGGGGTCCGGCGCCCGCCGCTCCCCCGGGGGCCCGTCGCCCCGCCCGGGGGCCCAAGGCCCGCCGCCCCGCCCGGGGGCCCGGTGCCCGCCGCCCCGCCCAGGGGCCCGGTGCCTGCCGCTCCGCCTGGTGGCCCGCTGCCTGCCGCTTCGTCTGGTAGGCCCGATGTGCCTCTGCCCGGAGTCCAGCCCGATGTGCCTCTGCCCGGAGTCCAGCCCGATGGCCCTCTGCCCGGAGTCCAGCCCGGTGTGCCTCTGCCCGGAGTCCAGCCCGGTGTGCCTCTGCCCAGAGTCCATCCCGGTGTGCCTCTGCCCGGAGTCCATCCCGGTGTGCCTCTGCCCGGAGTCCAGCCGCCCGATGTGCCTCTGCCCGGAGTCCAGCCGCCCGGTGTGCCTCTGCCCGGAGTCCAGCCGCCGGAGTGCCTCTGCCCAGAGTCCAGCCCGGTGTGCCTCTGCCCGGAGTCCAGCCCGGTGTGCCTCTGCCCGGAGTCCAGCCCGATGTGCCTCTGCCCGGTGTGCCTCTGCCCGGAGTCCAGCCCGATGTGCCTCTGCCCGGTGTACCACTGCCCGGAGTCCTGCCCGCTGTGCCAGTCTTTGATATCCCGCCAGTTACCAGACCCGGGCGGTGGAACATTTTTCCCAGCTAGGACTGTTTGGAGCGTCCTGAGGCCGCTCCTTGAGGGGGGGGTACTGTCAGGAATGGACTTGCCAGCAATGGTGGGACTCACCTGCCTTTTGATCTGCAGTACCAGGGCTGGCCAGCGGGTGCTCCCAGCAATCAGAGACTCAACTTTGCAGCCAGCTAACACCTGGAACTGATTATGCTGGGGTATTTAAGGGATGGCCAGACTTGCAGACTCTGCCTTGGTGTTGTGTTTGTCCTGGGCCCTGTATCCTGTTTCTGTCCTGCATCCTGTTTCTGAACCGCTGCTGACTTCTCCTGCTCTGATCCCGGCTCGCTCCTGACCATCCCTCTGCACCACCCTCTGCCACGCTTGCTACCTGTTCTGATCCCTGGCTTGTGACCCTGACCATCCCTCTGCCTGACCCTCTGTACTACGCTGCTTGCTACCTGCTGAACCTGGCCTGTGACCCCGACCAATCTCCGCTTGCTCCCCCTGTACCTACCTGCCCTATTGATATTGACCCGGCCTGCCTGACGACCCTTGCTTGTATGTACTGTTATCTGTGGGTGGTTGGTTTGGTTTGGTTTGGTTGCACTGTATTATGTTTTAGTATTGCACTGCGTTTATGTTTGTATTGTTAGTGTTAATAAATTATATTGTTTATAACATATCTGAGGTCTGCGTTTCCCTGCGTCAGTTACACACCTCTGGTCACACCTGGGAGCCCTGACACTAAGACTATGTAGCCAAAACGCGTCAACCTACTGTATTTTTTATGTGTTCGATACAATAAAGGAAGATTTTAGACGTAGACCAGTAACATACATCCAATTGTGACAATTCTTCCATAAAAACCCTTCACCCAAAATGCACTCACCAGAACTCTGGTAAAAACAGACCTGTAATGTCACTCCAAGCTGTGACAGCTCCTTTCACTCCTTTCTCTAATCAGAGGTCATAAGAATGTACCTTGATCAAAACAACTCACCACCCTGAGCCCAGAAGAAGGTGCATAGTGTGCTTGTGTTTTTTAGCACTGCACTATTATTAATAAAAAAAAAAAAACCTTAGGCATACATGATGTACGCAGTGAATGAATGATGAAAATGAAGCTTCCCACCTGTTAGCTAGGTGTCACACAGCATTGTTTGTTTATATATATATATATATATATATGTACAGTATATATAGAAAATCAGATAAGATAAATGAGCAACATGTGTTGCATGGCATCCTGAAAGATTATCAGAAACAGTTTCTGACCACATCCTCTTATATTTGAGGAAAGCATTTTATTTATCACAATATACTACAGACTGTTAAATGACAGACTAGCCAGCACTTTGTATGGGGCAAAAGTGTTATCCTTTCACTCTTTTACATACAGTAATATGTCTGCCATTGTAGATGAACACATTGTGGGTGTTTTACTAAAGCTGGTGCACACAGAATCAGGTGCAGCCACACAGAGTAACTAATCAGTTTATAGGGTTTTAGTCCTGGTTCACACTGTTGCAACTTGTCAGTTTCAAATTGCATGACAAGTTGCACACTATAGTCTGCAATGGAACCTTTAAATTGGTGCAACTCCCACTCTGTCGGAGTCCCACCGATTTTCAAAGTAGTTCCTGCACTACATTTTGCGATTTCAGGTGTGGCTTGCATAGACATCTGTGCATGAAGTTGCACAGATATCTTCCAAGTCTCACCTGAGGAGTATGCACTGACATGCAGCTTTGCAATCGTGCAACTTCACTTGAAAATTCCAAAGTCGGATCTGGTGTGAACCTGGGCTTATCGTCAAAGCTTAACTGAACAAGTTGGAAGCTGACTGGCTACTATGCACAGCTACATCAGATTCTATGTGCACTAGTTTTAGTAAGTCTCCCCCTTGTGAAAAGCAATGTCAGACAAAAAAGAAGTCTCTATCTGCCATGACCTTGTGAACTGCCTATTCAGCTTGGGTATTAACTTACCCAATATTTCAGGTAAATTACAGCCGAATTATTCTACAACACGTTTCATCACAAAGTTTTTCTTGCGCCGAATTGAAGAAACATGTAGAATTAAAAAACTATTTTAGGTTTTATTTCATCTATGCACAGGTAGATTAACATCTCACCAATTCACTGAATCTACCTTTGTGGACATGAACAGATTTGGTAATCTTCCATATTCCCAAAATAACGGGTGCTACAGCAACCACCAGCGGGAGACTGGACCATGCAAAGTACAGTGTAAATATTTGCCAGCACACCACGGATCTTAAGATCAAGTCCAAATGATCACATCACAAAGAGAAGAGTGCAAAATTTCGGAGGCACGCAGGACCCTTTTGTCAGGCATGTGATATCAAAAGACATGGTTACACTCTGATCTGTTTCCCTTTGCCAATGGTTCAAGATTCATTCTTCAAAGACAGGGCCTTAGCATAGCAGGACACTGCATTTTTTTTATTTAAAAGGGAGGAAAAAAAGGGGGAGGGTCAAAGACAAAAGAGGGGATAGTGGGGGGAAAAGGCTGGGACAGGGGATACTGGAAAAAAGGGGGGAAATAATAGCAGTGGTGCGAATGGGCAGGAGCCTAGATAGAAGCTCACAATCTGCTAGGACTAGTCTTGAAAAAAGAGTTTTACTTTCCTCAGAATAGATAAATATCTTCCAATGAAGTCAGGTTTTGAAATACAGCTTGTGTATGTTATGAGCAGAAAGTATAAGGTCCTCCATCTGGTTCGACTCTATTAAGCCAAAGCTGGATGAAGCTGGTCTTTCCATCCAACAGAAATGCATGACTTGGCTGCATTAAGAAAGTGGCTTTCTTGTAAGTTTTGGCAAGGATGATATGCAGGAGAAAAAAGGAAGGATCTTTCAGAATCTGATAGTACATTTTTGTGATATTCTGCGCACCTCCGTCCAGAAGTGATTACGTTTAGGGCAGGATCAAAATATATGCAGCGGTGTCCTCCGCTCCTCCTGACATCTTCAGTAGAGATCAGTAGTAGCAGGGAAATATTTGTGAAGGACAGAGGGGTATGGTTCCATCTAGTTAGGATCTTTAAATTATTTTTACCTAGATCAGTCTCTTACTTGTAAAGATAAGGCAAGGGGAGATCGTCCAGGGGAAGGAGATACAAACAGCTTGTGCAGGAGGAAGATGGCCTTCGCTCCACTACCAGAAGTGGTGTGCGTTCCACCGACCGGATGTGAAGTAGCGGCTCGTAACCACACCTCAAAGCATTTCATCCTGATTGGACATCTTCAGGAAGTTCTGGTATCGGAGCAGCAGTGGCCATCTTCCCCCTGCACAAGCTGTATACACCTGATGCCGGTTAATTTAGGCACTGTAACAAGAAGGTGGAATATTTTTATTTGGCATTTTTAACTGAACTGAACTGTTTTACACTGAGACCTCTCCTTGGTATCTCCTTTCTTGAACAATGGAGCATCAAATGTGGAAGACCATTTTGGGATAGTGTGAACAGTGACAAGAAGCACACAGGGGTTATCCCAAAAGCGCAGCACGACCTAACTAGCAATAGTAGGTCAATTATCTGTGGTGAGTGTCAGTCTATGTGGAGACACTAGAAGCACCAGGAGTGGAGCACTTCTTTTGTTCATAGAAGCACGCTGCTATCAAGTTAGAACATACACTAGAGATCCATTTGATCATCATTTTTTTCATGCAACTTGCAACTTTTTTTACCCTCAAGTAAAGTTTCTCAACAGTGTCCAAGCACTCCTGTAAAACTGTACCATTGGTACATTTTTTTTGTGTTACCCCAAATTCATGCTACTTTCAATAAAAATTAATTTGGACACTGCTGGGCTGTAAATGAATGTGAGAGGACTTTGAGGATCTGTTATACTGGCCCTCAGTTTGGTTATTTTATGTGCCCTCACCTCGGACTGCTGCGATTGTGTTTGATCAAACAATCTGTGTTCTGTTTTGTAGTGGTGCTTCACGTTGCTACTTTTATTATCGCCACCATTTTGCAATAATTGAGACAACCTGGTTTTAAACTTCCTTCAGGAAGAATGAACAAATATTGGTCTGTCCATTCATCTTTAAAGGTACGGTTTTCAAATTTATAACAACTTGTGCTCTGTGGGGCTTTTGTTCCTGTTTCTTCCACACACAATGTAAATATAAATGTGCCCATTAGAGTTCCCCCTTACTTCATGTGCCCCCTTCAGAGTTCTCTCTTGCATCAGGTGCCCCTATAAGAGTTTCTCCTTTTATCAGGTGTGCCCATTAGTATGCTTCCCTTAAGGTGTCCCCATAAGGAGTGCCCCCTTACATTAGTGGCCCCTATCAGAGTGCCCCCTTACATCAGATAACCTCATCAGCATACCCCCTTACATAAAGGTGTCCCTCTCAGCGTCTACCCTTACATCAGGTGCCCCCATTAGGTTCAATTTTCAGTGTCTACTTTCCTTTATTTGTAGCAAGTTATGCTCTCTGGCTCATTTGTTTCTGTTTCTTTTGCACACTTAGTTGATACACTGTAAATGCAAATGTCCAAAAGTTCCCCCTTTTATCACATGTAGCCATCAGAGTTCCCTCCTAAATCAGGGCAAAATCCAAAATCAAAAATAATCACGCCAGTGGTAAGACAGAACATGGGAGGGAAAAACTGAATTTAAAAATGTGATCAGTATCAAAACATTTACAATACAAATACTAACTGGTTCCCTTTTTATTTACACATAAAATACATAGAAAGATTTCAACAGAAAGCAATAGAGACCCCTTGAAAAACAGGCACAATATTATACTTGTTTCACTGAATCTACTGTAATGAAGAAGCCAATTTACTATTTCTTTGAAGAACTTTCATATTTTCTAAATGTCTATAAAACTCTATGGGGCAGAAGTTCGTCTGCTTCTCAAACCATTTAGCAACACTGAGGAGCTGCTGTTCACAGAATGCTTGTCCTATGAATTGAAGGCCAAGTGGTAATCCTCTTACAGAAAGGCCTGCTGGAACGGTTATAGCTGGAATACCTTGAGAAAGGAAAAACAAACAAAAATTACACAGTATATCATAATAACCTGTTTTAAAATTATTTGGACAAAACAAATACAGTTGTGTTCAAAATATTAGCAGTCAGACGTCACTAACCTGATCAATCACTGTTTTTGGTAGAAATGATATTTCTACGTGGAAAATAATTTACTAGCAGGTGTAGTAGAGTAATAGAAATCCAACAGACCCAACAGTCATGACATGCATGCTGCTGATTCTGTGTAATTGAATCACTAATTGAAAGGGGCATGTTCAAAACAATAGCAGTGTGGAGTTCTATTAGTGAGGTCATTCATTCTTTGAAAAACAGGTGGCAATTATTGCCCTTATTTAAGGAAGGAAGGCAGCAAATGTTGTACATGCTGGTTACAGTGCATTTCTCTCTGAAATTGAGGAAAATGGGTCGTTCCAGACATTGTTCAGAACAGCGTACCTTGATTAAAAAGTTGATTGGAGAGAGGAAAACATATAAAGAAGTGCAGAAAATGATAGGCTGCTTAGCTACAATGATCGCAAATGCTTTAAAATGGCAACCAAAACCTGAAGGACGTGGAAGAAAGCGTAGAAACTACCATTCGAATGGATAGAATAGCCAAAATGGCAAGGACTCAGCCAACAATCAGCTCCAGGAAGATCAAAGAAGGTGTAAAGTTACCTGTGAGTACTGTTACAATTAGAAGACGCCTATGTGAAGCCAAGCTATCTGCAAGAAGCCCTCACAAAGTCCCACTGTTGAAAAAAAGACATGTGCTGAAGAGGTTACAATTTACCAAAGAGCACATTGACTGGCCTAAAGAGAAATGGTGCAACATTTTGTGGACTGATGAAAGTAAGATTGTTCTTTTTGGGTCTAGTGGCCGGAGACAGTTTGTCAGATGACCCCCAAACACTGAATTCAAGCCACAGTACACTGTGAAGACAGTGAAGCATGGTTGCGCAAGCATCATGATATGGGGATGTTTCTCATACTACGGTGTTGGGCCTATTTATCGCATACCAGGGATCATGGATCAGTTTGAATACATCAGAATACTTGAAGAGGTCATGCTGCCTTATGCTGAAGAGGAAATGCCCTTGAAATGGGTGTTCCAACAAGACAACGACCCCAAACACACCAGTAAACGTGCAAAATGTTGGTTCCAGACCAACAAGATTGACGTTATAGAGTGGCCAGCCCAATCCCCGGATCTTAATCCAATAGAAAACTTGTGGGGTGACATCAAAAATGCAGTTTCTGAGGCAAAACCAAGAAATAGACAAGAACTGTGGAATGCAGTCCAATCATCCTGAGCTGGAATACCTGTTCACAGGTGCCAGACGTTGGTTGACTCCATGCAACACAGATGTACAGCAGTTCTCAGAAACAGTGCTTATACAACTAAATATTAATTAAGTGATTCAAACGAAAGCAAAACCTTCAAACATTTTTCAGTTTATATAGTGAATGTTTGAGTTTGTAAAGAATACAAACACTGCTATTTTTTTGAACAGTCTAATATTCACTTTTCTTCCATTTTTTTAGAGGAACAACACAAATTTGATATATTTTTCTTCATGTTTTGATTTGGAATAGAATGTGTAGTGTTCCCAATGCATTTGTGTGTATGGAAATAAAAGCTATTAGAAGGATTTTGAGCTTTATTCACTTTTTTCAACACACTGCTATTATTTTGAACACAACTGTATCTTTAAGTATCTTTCTTGTGCTACAAATCCTTGCTTTGGAGCCCCAATGACCCTAAGCACGTACTAAATAAAAGACTCGCCTTCCCAAGTCAGAAACTTCTCCTTCAAGTTTTCCTTCAGTTTAAAAGCCAATGAAAGCCAACAATGTTGCATTAGAAAGTGAGCGCCAAGGCTTTTGAAATAATGCTGCATATGAGAAGCAAATTTGTCAGAATCATCCAACAATCCTAATGAACATTTTTGGTGGATACACTAGGTCATCACAGGATCTTAGAATATGGTTGTCATAAATTAGTAGGAAAGTATTAAATCACTCTTCTGAGCCTTTGTTCAGCCTTTCCCGAGCAAAAATAGTTTATGGGAGAGTGCCCCATCATGCACTGCCTGCTAAATGTGCATTTCCTTGGAAACAGAGATCCACCATGAATGTTCAGAAACAATGTTTAAAGGTTTCTGTTTGTTATCATTTAGGTATTAATAAGACAAGAGCAAAAGAGCATTCTTTTTATAGTACTAGTAAATCGAGCTCACCAGCCATGTTGGCACATTGTGTGAAGACATCCTCCTCTGCACTTCGTGTTCGGTTGTCCTCCCCGATAAAGTCCAGGTAAAGAGTTGCATCTCCTAATGTAGTAGGAGTAAGTAAAACATCCACACCAGATCGAAAAACCTTTTTAAAGTCATCTGCTATTAGTCGTCGCACTCTCTGAGCCTTCAGAAAATACTTTTCATAGTTCCTGAAAAGAAACAGATAAGTTAAAGTATGACTTCCAGACTGACCACATCACATGACCCCAACCAAATACAGAAATTAAACCTTTTTGAGCAAAATTAGTTTTTGCAGTCCCCATGCCTTTCTATCATTAAGAGCCAACCATCTTCCTCAGCAGGTTATAGCGGTCATTCGGTGAGACAGGCATCGACGTGGCACACCTTCCAGTGACTCCTAATGATCACACAGAAGGGCATATAATAACAACTGATTTTGGGCATCTGGTGTAGGAACTCACCTAATATGTCAATTGGCAGGCCTTGAAACTGAGTGCTGGTGGAAATAACAAAAGACTGGCCAGTCTAAATGTTGTGATAAAATAGGAATATGCGGAAACACACCAATGTAATAGTGTAACGTAATACTTCTCATCATTGTTATTAAATTCAGAGAATAGTTTCATTTTAGATGAATTACATATTTTATAACAACTCCATATTGGAGACTTGCTAAGCTTCATTTGTTCCCACAGGAAATACATCTGATAATTATCTAATACCCTCACTAATTCTTCTTTCACTGTTCCAGGAAGTCAGATTTTTGATGAACATCATTAAGGAATAGAAAGGTCAGTGGTTTATTAGCAAGATGTGAAGTCATTACCAGCAAAGCATTGAGGTGTGGTTTTGTAACTGTAAAATCAGTTTGTGATTTTTTTTCTTTTTTTTTTGCTTACAAGGTGGACTTTCTCCTATATCCTTCTAAAATATATCTATCTATCTATCTATATATCATTGGGACCCAGACACTCAGTCAATTGCATGGAAAATTCCCAGAGGGCAAGATACAGCAGCACACAGGAGAAACCCAATAGAGATTAATTCCACATGCTAACTCACAGGAGAACTGCCTAATGAAGTGAAGTGGGAACTGTCTGTTCTGGTGAATGAGATGGAAGTCCCAGGTGTGGGGACACACTAGCCAAAGCAGCTTTCTCAGGATAATGGGGAAAAACCGCTCCATCCCTAGCTTGGAACTGAAGGGTTGCGTCCAGGACCTCTTGGTCCAAATCAACCATCTGGATATCTCTTCCTGAGTCCAGACACCCGACCCTGGGAGGGAGGCTGAAGGTGACTTGATTGAAACTAGCCAGGAGATTCTGGAGGAGGATGGGGCTAAGGTATCAAGTAGCACAAAGAGATCAACAATATTCAAGGAAAACGATCCCTCTTGTAGAGGATAAGTGTGTACCCAAGAGGAGTACCTCTCCTTAAGGAACCAGAGTGGACGGAGGATTCAGACAGATCTGTGAGAATGCACATTTGGGAGTATTAATCTGAGGACTGATGAGGGGGAGCTGAACAAGATGCCAGACTCAAGGGGTTAGCCTGATCACTACAGGGGCTAATGTAAGAACCCAAATGCTGCGGAAGTAGCCTAACAATGGACCTAGCTAAAAAAAACAAACAGCCCACCACTTAAGGAAGTGGGGGTGTACCTTCCTGGTTGCTGAACAGAGGGACTGAAAAACTTCTGACTGTGAGCAGTAGGTCTAAGTGAGATGTAGGTTCAGAATGCCCACATATGACTGCAGTAGTAGATGGAGGAGCAGAATGAGGTTCGCCCAGCCCTTTCACAAATCTTGGGTTGATGTAGGATAGTACTAGAGCAACCAAGCAGTGTCAATATTCTCATTGCACACTTTCCTGAATAAGGCTTAAGAGTAGCAGGTGCTGAAACAACAACCAGCTGGAACTGGAGACATCACAGATCATATGTAAATATTTGCCAGCACACTACGGATCATTGAATAGCATCCAAAATCTTTATTGAAGAATGATCATATCACAAAGGACAAAGTGCAACTTTTCCGAGCAGCGAGGAGCCCTTCGTCAGGCATGTGATGGAGGGGTCGTGACGAAGAACCCCTTCGTCACATGCCTGAAGAAAGGGTCTTCCGTGGCTCCTAAACATTGCACTATGTCCTCTCTGATGTGATCATTCAATAAAGATTCTGGACAATAAATCTGGATGATCCATGGTGTGCTGGAAAATATGTGCATACTTCAGCAACCAGTGAAATTGCTCATGCTGTTGCCAAGAGCAGGTCAGAAAAGACAACACCCCTCAAAAGAGCAACCGAGTCAAGATGTTCCTTGGGCATAACATTGGCATCCCAAGCATACAGCCAAAGTGTTCTATACACATGAAAGGACATCAGTCCCATGTGAGACACAAGTTTTGATGTTTGTAACAAGCCATCTCAACTAAAGCACAAGGCTCTAGACATTTGCTCCAATTGCTCAGTGAAACAGGGTCCTAACTCAGAGGTGGAAGAGTCCCCTTTAAAGGAGTTTATCCATTCTGACTTGGTTTGCCAGAATAAAGTCACAGCTAAAATACACTCCAGTAACTTCAAAATGGGATCTATGGAGGGAATATACCTGTCAGTAAAGGATGAGAACACCAGCATTCTATATTATAGGCTTTAGTTCTTTCTGGGGATACGTGATATATACAGATAGGGCAGCGGAATTGTGCTCTGTGTGTTTTGAGAAGACATGTTGTGTAATTGAATATTACTAGGCTCAAACCCAGGCAACTGGAGCTGATGAGGGCTGAAGGTGGCCAGAGATGACTGTAGGCTGGTAGTGGAACAAGATTGGAGACCAGAAATCCATGTGGTGCTTTAGAAGCAGGATAAGCAGCAGGACTCTGCTCCTTCTAGGGCAGTCATTCTCAACTAGGGTTCCTCCAGAGGTGAATGGAAGCTGATTAAGTTCCTTGAGCAGTGGCTGATTGACCTCCCACCATCTGATGGTACCTAGGGTCAACATTACTTAGCTAAGAATATCATTGGTCTCATGATGCTACCTCTGCTATCTGTAAGGGTGGCATTCTGACCACCATTGTAAAAGACATTCTTCCCATTAACCCTTGATGAATTAATTTTACAGGGATTTCCCAAGATGTGAAAATTATTTCAAAGGGTTCCTTTTGGGTAAAGGGTTGAGAAAGGCTGCTCTAGGCTGAATGGTGGGAGACAGATTGCGGAGTACATGTGTGCAGCACTACACTTGGCAGAATGATCTCAGCAGTCAATTCCGCAGCTTAAACCTTTACCACCGTAGAACCAGCAGTGGTGGAAATTTTATAAAAAGATGTCTGATAGTTCAAAGAGAAAAGCTGGTCCCAGTGTTTCAACCCAACAGATCTTACTCACGGATTCTTCACAGATAGGGTCACAACGGTCTTTGCCATAGTTTTGGACCTGGAAAACACTCCATAGCGGCTCACTAACACTGTACACCAAGGTTAGGAAAGTGACCCAATTCACAATTCAGTGCTCAAAGCTCACATTCCAAGCTAGCGCTGTACATCCAGTGCAATGGAATCTGGGAAGGGCCTCCAAAGCTAGTGCTGAGGAGCTTCCAATCTGAATTGCTGCTACATAGAGACCAGCTCAATCAGCAATGGAGCAAGGTATCTTGATGGAAGTCACTTGGGAATAAAATCACCAGCTGTGTAGCAGAACACTGTCTTAGAGTGTTCCTGCTTTAGATGGAGGAACAACAAAGATACCTTTGGACAGCAGGTAGAGGGTAGTATTAGATGCAGTAGCAAATTTAGATGAATATGACTAACAAATTAATGCAGAAGTCTAACACTTTTAACGTGGTTATAAAAACAGGTTTGTTTTTTTTTAATTCCCTTTTTGGATAAAGGTTTTACATAAATGAATAAAATCTGACCATTGTAAGCACTCCTTATCTCAAAACTGTCACTTTTGCTAGACAGCGTGCTCTGTTAATGCAAGTTGAAAAATAACAGACTTACTGTCCAGATTAACAAGTGAAAATAAAGGATTAACCACTTCCCGACCGGCCGTTGCATATAAACGGCCGGACGGTGGCAGTGCAGGGTCAGGTGGCCGTTTATGAACGGCCTCCCCGCACCCTGCTTGTGCGCGCTCCCTGGGAGCGCGCAGCACCACGATCCGGTGCTCGCTGTGTCCTCCGGACACAGTGAAACACCGATCGTCGGACGGGACCTCTGTACGAGGTCCCGATCATGTGATCACTGATTGGCCAATCAGTGATCACATGCAAAGTAGTAAGCAAGATGTCACTTGTGACATCATTGCTTACTACGTGTTAAATCTGGAATGATCACAGAGGTCACATGGTACAAGGCTATTCACAACAGCCTTGTACCATGTGACAAGCTGTGACCAATCACAGCTCACTCAGTACTTCTCAATGAGTGCAGGAATGAACACAGAGAATAAGAGAAATTATTGCTTTTACATCCTATATGGGTGTAAAAGCAATCAGTGTAAAAAAAAAAAAAAAAAAATCTTCATCACCCCCCACAAGTAGTACAGTGTCACCATGGTGACACTGTACTGCTAGAGTGACAGTATGTAAAAAAAAAAAAAATAAATAATAATATATAAAAAAAAATAAAATAAAAATGTAAAAAAAAAATGTTTAAAAATTATAATTTTTGGTTATAAACTAATTTGTTTTTTGTTTTTTTTTACTAAAAAGATAACGGAATAAATTTTGGCAAAGATTTTATGATGAAATATTATTTATTTGCAAACTTTTATAAAAAAAAAAACACTTTTGTTCAAAATTTTTGGACTTTTTCATTTACATAGCAAAAAAAATAAAAATCCCAGCGGTGAATAAATACCACCAAAATAAAGCTTTATCTGTCTCAAAAAAATGGTAAAAAATTAATTTGGGTACAGTGTTGCATGACTGCGCAATTGTCATTCAAAGTGTGATAGCGCTGAAAGCTGAAAATTGCCCTGGTCAGGAAGGGGGTAAAAGAGTCCGGTCTGGAAGTGGTTAAAAAGAAAACCAAAAAGAAAACGAATGCCACCACATCTAAGAGTTAGTAGAGCTGCAATATAATAGTTTTTTGTGTTTTATACTGCTTTAACTCCTTCCTCTCCTTAGCTATTATTTATTAATTTACATTAAATTTCAGTTACTTTTTTTTTTAATTTTTCTGTTTTTTTTGGTTATTTTTACTGTTGCATAAAAAATGTGCAAACTATTAAAAACTATTAAAAAGCACAATTTGCAAATAATTTTTCCATGCCTTGTACCAGAAACCTATTTTTAGCATAATTTTACACATAAATTATAGACTAAACTGTACAAATGTTATTTACAGAAGAAAACTTTTTTTTTTTTTTTTTTTAAACACTGGTCAAAATAGAAAAATTGTTCATTTCTTAACATATTTTTGTCTTTATTTTACAGACAATTTATCTTCTTTTCAGAGACAGTTGTTCTTAACAATTGCTAATGCTAATTGTTTGGAAGAAGGGGGTACACCACGAAAGCTTGTCCTAAAAAATTACCTATTAGTGCAAAAAAAAAAAAAAAACTATTACAGACAGTGCTGTTTTTGCAAGTTCACTAATACAGATACAATCACTGTAAGTATAGAAAAACAGATAATATTAACAAATGAAAGCATAGCTCATCCCCTAAAACAATGTACTTTGTTATCTTAAGTCATGGGAGAGTTATTGCTAAATAACAGGCCCACAGTGAAAATGAAATATTGTTCTGTTTCATAGGTACAAGCGCTGGTTAAAATCATAACCTGAAATCTGTTGTGTTGGTCGTACATGATGTGTACATGCAAAGTAATTAATAACCTACTGTTTCAGAAGAAAGAAATTCCCAGACAATATTCTTCCTCTCACAACGTCATTAAAACCTTCCCGTCTTGTAGCAGAGTACATGGCTTCTGTTGAGTCTTCTACATCTGAGCGGTGCCCTATTAAGCAACCAAAATATTCAGTCTTAGCAAAACTCTAAGGGTCCTTTCACACGGGCGTTCCGTTTTTTTCATCCATTTAGTCACATTTTTTCCAAGAAAAAACAAATCAGTTTACATCAGTTTTTCATCAGTTCACATCAGCTTACATCTGTTTTTTTACATCCTTTACCAATGCAAAAACTGACCATATGTTCGTTAACATCTGTTTTTCGTCCGTTCTGTGTTTTTTTTTTTAACGTAAGAAAAACAGGGTTTTCTTGCGTTAAAAAAAAAAAAAAAAAAAGATGTTAACGGATGCGGACATTAACGGATATAAACAGATGATCATTCATTTACATTCACTAGTCCATAGAAATACAGGTGTTTTAGATTTTCATCCATAAACGGACAGATGAAAAATGGACATGGATACGGAACGCCCATGTGAAAAGGGACCTAATACAGAATGACGAACTGCTATAAACATTTAACAAGATTTTAAAAAACATTTTTGTTTTTTGTGGGTTTTTTTACACTCCACATTTGAGAAAAGATTGATATACAAGTCAGGCAACAGGGGAGAGTTGCGGAAAGACCCCGGTGACCTATCTAGTAAAATATTTGCTAAGAAATTTTTTATGGAAAAAGGCTCTCAAATGTATTAGACATAGTGAGTTGGCCTACAGAGTTTCTGAAAGTTGGATAGGACTGAACAAATATATACTGTACATCAGGACTTGAAAAAGCCGCTCGCCCCGCTCACCATATGCAAGGGGAAATCCTTGTGTGGTGAGCACAGAAGGAGCGGCTCCACCTGCACTCCAAGCCTCATTGTGAAGCCGAGTTCCGGTTTCCAACTTCCAGCTTCTTCTTCGGCACCGCGCCATTACACTAGCAGCGCCGCTGAGGGGACAGGTGCAGGAGAGGTCCGCTCTCCTCCGCTGAGAGGAGACACCCGCTCTCCACCACCTACCTATTCACGATTGATATCTGTATAAGTATCATTTCACTTTTCAGAGGCAGCTGTAAATCCACATTGTTGATACAGCGTGGGCACAATACTATTATTATTTAGCACATTCTCACTAGGCACCATAATAACACCATTTAACTATAAGTGATTATTCAAGCCAAAAGGATTGGGTTCCTCCCTTCTATGCTAAAGAGAACTCTACCAGATCCATTAATGCCTCAAGATCCTATGTCCTGTACAACACAAACCATGGCTGTTCTATTAGCACATCTTTGTTAAAATGTTTACTGTTGTTATGCCATGTTTTTTTGGCATCCAAATAAGCACTTTTTTGTTTTTTCTTAATGCACTACTTCTCTAAGCTCTCTTTTAATAAGATGCTGGCGATAATAAATGCCAAATGTTTACTATTTTTTATTTATTTTATGCAATGTTTTTTGGCCATCAAAATAGGCACTTTTTTCTTTCTTCTTAATGCCACACTTCTCTAAGGTCTCTGCTGGAGATAAAAAATACAACATGTTTACAGTAACTATTATTCCATGTTTTTTTGGCATCAAAATAAGCACTTTTTCTTATGCTATACTTCTGTAAAAACTAAGCTTTGTTCTGTTAAAAGAGACTTTAGTTACTAAAGTCTCTTTTTAAAGATGCAGGAGATAAACAAAAAAAAAAAAATACAAAAATGTTTACTACAGGTTTAAAGCTGTAAAACTTGATATTTTGATTGCACCCTATTGCTATTAAGCTATTGCTGTTATGTTTAAATTGACATAATAAAGCTATGTTATAATTGCAGTTTTTTATATTTTGGACTCTTTATTTTAAAGAAAAATGTAATTTCATAAGTTTTAAGGGGACGTGGTTGAGGGCAGGGCTGGGGGCGGGGTTGAGGGCGGACCTGGGCAAGGTTGGGTGGGACAACTGGTGGAGAGTAAGGTTTGTGCTTGGCTAGTAGGTCTAGACTCAAAATTTTAAGCCCTGCTGTACATACGTATACATTTGCAACACTCACTATCCTGTAATTTTCTGTTGTTGAAAAAAAATAAGATTTTTTTTTTTTTTTTTTTTTACATTTCTTTTTTTTTCCAAAAAGAAAGCCTTTATTAAGAAAGAACATAATGGTACAAAAGACATGTACAGGGTGCCCAAGTGAAACAGCAGGCACAACCTACAGCGATACAGCAGTAACTCAAACAAGAGAATACAGATAATGATAATGCAATAATACAAAACCCGACTACAATAAGGTTATGCTTGCAACAAACCGGAGCCAATATAGTATAGTATGGGGTGTAATTGCATCTAATAATATCCCCTGCGCTCGTGCTTCGCCAAGCAGGGCTGTAGCGAAAGGAAGAGTGGTCATGGCATCTGAACGTAGGAATTGGACAAAAAACTTATGGCAAGGTGGAGAGTTACAAAATCGGCATATATTGCGGTAGGAGCCGTTGATGGAAGTGGGGAGAGTGATAGGATGGCATGTCTAGTGTTCCAGGTAGCATAGCAAAGCGAGAGGCGAGAAGAAAAGAGAAAGGAGAAAAGAAAGAAAGGGAAATAGAGAGAAAAAGTGATAGAAACAGAAAGAGGGGGATGGGGGTGGAAGGTGAAGAAAAAAAAAAAAAAAAAAATTAAATAAAAAAATTTTTGCAAAATAAATTAATAGTGGGGGGGGGGGGGGGGAAACATATGGGGTGAGTAATGACAGCAATATCTGGGGTTACTCATGCATGGGGATAGGAGTTAAGCTGACGCCAGAGTCGCGTGGGAAGGGATACATTGTCGAAAAGAGTCTCAGTGCCTATCACAAAAAACTACTGTAAAGAAGTAACATCAGCCGGAAAGCCGGACCAAGTCAGACCTGATGGTCCATAAGAGACCTGTACGTAGGAGTAGTTGTGAAGTAGATCCAGCAGGCCCAAATGTGGGAAAATTTAGTGGGAGTGTCAAGGGCCGACGCAATTAGTTCCTCCATGTCTGCCATTTTACCCACACGGACAAGCCAATCACAAACAGAGGGGGGGCGAGAAGAGCCCCAAAGGACGGGAAGGCAGAGTCTGGCCGCGTTGACCATATGCATGGCCAAAGATCTATGATATTGTCTCCCCGGAAGGGAGGAATGATGGAGGAGAAACTGGGCCGGAGACAGATCCAGAGGCACGGTTGTCACCGATACTACAATCCTATGGACCTCTTTCCAAAACGGTTGAATGCTCGAACAGGACCACCAGATGTGTAAAAATGATCCGTCCGCAGCTTTTTTTTATTTTTAACTGCTGAAAATCAATTAAAAAAAATATGAAAAGTGAAAAAAATAAGAATTTTGTACTTATTTTAAATTTTATTTGAAGTCCAGTTAAGTACTCCAGAATTATAGGTAATTATACCTCTGCTTTCAGAAACTTTGGACACTGACAAAAAATGTTACGCAAGCTAATTGTTTATCCCTGCATCCAACATCATGCCTCAGATTTTTAAGTATAAAATATATAAAGGCCAATAACTTAAGGGGACAGGACTGTCAGTGGACTTTTACTGTAAGTAATAAAATCTTAGTTTATTTATCCTCTATTGAGGAACACAGGAATAGAAAATAATCATAGACTGTTGGGATTTCCAAAAACAGTCAAACTAAGGAGTAGGTAAGATTCACTGAGAGAATTACTGAGAGGTGTAAACAAATATACAAGAAATCAATGCCTGCAAGAAGGCCAGATACTGTAAATAGGGAGCCACTCAAAAGGAGTGGTAACGACTGAGGCAGGCCATGGAGTGGCAACGACCGAGGCAGGCCATGGAGTGGCAACCACCGAGGCAGGCCATGGAGTGGCAACCACCGAGGCAGGCCATGGAGTGGCAACCACCGAGGCAGGCCATGGAGTGGCAACCACCGAGGCAGGCCATGGAGTGGCAACCACCGAGGCAGGCCATGGAGTGGCAACCACCGAGGCAGGCCATGGAGTGGCAACCACCGAGGCAGGCCATGGAGTGGCAACCACCGAGGCAGGCCATGGAGTGGAAACGACCGAGGCAGGCCATGGAGTGGAAACAACCGAGGCAAACCAGATTAACAAGAATGGACACCTGGATGAGAATGGGCATTTCACTAGAGGAATGTCTCTTCATGACAATTTGGTATGTCATGTCATCTTATTTTTTTTTTCCAATGAAATTTTATTTTACACATGATTGCTGTAGCATTTGTTTTGTTCCCGTAGCCAGGTTTTTATGGTATACATTTTTAATTAAATTTTATTCTAGGTTTCTTTCGACTGGACAAATGTTTGTATCATTGCACCATTTTCTGATGGGTGTCTCCATCGTGTCTAAAATTGTACGAGAAACATGTTTGGCACTGTGGGAGGAACTTCATGGAGCCATGATGCATGTGCCAACTGAAGAGTTGTGGGAGAATATTGCGGATGAGTTTTGGCAGAAGACAGTTTCCAAATTGCATTTGAGCACTCAATGGGAAGCATGTGAGGGTAAAAAAGCCTCTGCATTCTGGCCTTCTGTATTTTAATTATAAAAAATATTTTTCTGTAGTTCTTCTGGCATTGTCCGATGCAAATTTACGCTTTGTGTGTGTGGATGTTGGTGAATATGGTAGCCAAGGAGATGCATGCATCTTCAGACAGTCTGCTTTGGGATTTCGACTGCATGAAGGACGCCTCAACATTCCGGGAAGTAGGCCTCTACCAAGCACACTGGAGCCAAGTCTGCCAATGGCCAATGTTGCGGATGAGGCTTTTGGATCAGCTAAGAATTTAATATGGCCATACAGTGGTTTTGGCCTCAGTCACATACAGAGAAATTTTAATTATCGTCTCAGCCGTGCTCGGCCTGTGGTAGAATGTGCCTTTGACATATGGCTCAGTTATGCAGTTGGTCATGGAAAAAGGGCCACATGTTCACTTAGCATCTGCATGTGGCTCAGTTAGGCATTTTGCCATGCAAGCTACATACTGGAGCTACGCGCAGGTGACCACATGTTCACTTAGCATCTGCATATGGCTCAATAATGCAGTTGGCCATGGAAAAATGGCAACATGTTCACTTAGCGTTTGCACATGGCTCAGTTATGCATTTGGCCATGCAAACTGCATACCAGAGCTACAAGCAGGTGGCCACATGTTCACTTAGCCATCCTTTCTGTCCAAGAACTGAAACCAAAATGGAGATGAGCCTAGCCTGAACAAACAAAAGGACACAAAATATATAAAGGGCAGCGCTAAAAATCGATAAGTAGAAAGTTCGATCCAAAAAAGTTTGATCATGAAAATTCGTTATCAAATGTTCATCAAATATTTCACAGCTATACAAAAAAATCCAGAAGCAATGGCATAAAATGCGCACTCACCGACCGCGCATAGGCAATGCGCATGTGTGTATTAGACTCTGCAGATCTTGTTCTGTCTCCGGAACAGGTGTCATCAAACTATAATCTGCTGGACTCGTAGGGCCTCCTCAGGATCAGGATTAATTAACCAGCTGAAGGCTCCCTTTTGGTGAAGGCTTCCCTCCTCAGGATAAGGCATGTGCTGGAAGCTGTGTCTGGTAACCCCTCAATGATGGGTAAAGAATGGGAGAGTGGTAAAGGCCCTACGAGTCCAGCAGATTATAGCTTGATGACACCTGTTCCGGAGACAGAACAACATCTGCAGAGTCTAATACACACATGCGCATTGCCTATGTGCGGTCGGTGAGTGTGCATTTCTGCCATTGCTTCTGGATTTTGTATAGCTGTGTCTACTATATCATTATATCAATCGAAATATTTGATGAACATTTGATATCGAATTTTCATGATCGAACTTTTTTGGATCAAACTTTCTACTTATCGATTTTTAGCGATGCACTTTATATATTTATTTAGACATGAGGCAGTTGTGATCTCCTCTAGTGCTATTAGATGCTTATTTCTTACGAATTTTTATGAGCGCTCGCTTTATTATATAAACAAAGGACACTGTGTCACTTCCTGTTTTGCACACAGCATTGTAATCTGAGACACTAGGACTGCAAAGGACAATGGGAAATGACTCAGCAGGACACTGTGTCACTTCCTGTTTTGCACACAGTGCTGTAATCGGAGACACTAGGACTGCAAAGGACAATGGGAAATGACTCAGCAGGACACGGTGTCACTTCCTGTTTTGCACACAGTGCTGTAAGTTTTACTGCGTTTTAGCGTTTTTACAGCTGAAAAACTCCTGTAGAAACCCACTAGTTTTGTTTTTTTTTTTTTCAGCCAAACGTTGATTACAGCCTCTGTGCATGGACACATAGGATAACATGCTGGGGAGTTTATTGACTGTAGAAAAAAAATGTCAAAAGCCAAAAATGGCAGCTGTAAAACCATCAAGTGTGCATGAGGGCTACAAAAAAAAAAAAATCCTGCAGCCACTAGGATTGTGCATAAAACTGACAGGTAGACTCCTGCCTGTCAGGTGGAAGCAGTCAGGTTGCTCCACTACTGTCGTCTATAGAAAATATAGGATACTAAAGTTTGACATAATTTCATAGGCACACACAAATTTAAGTTTTGGCATGTTGGGTATCTATTTACTTGGCACAACCTTGTATTTTATATTTTACCAAAAATGTGGGTAATTTATTGGGTTTGTTTGCCCTAAAATTCACTTTAGTGTGATTTTTAACCGAAATTTTGCATTTCCTAGACCTTTGCAATAATACCTTGTGACATAAAAAAATTGGAATTACCACTATTTTATTCTCTATGGTGTCCGCTTTCATAAAATATATAATGTTTGGGGGTTTTGTGTAATCTTCAGGCCTAAAATTATTGTGTGCAAAGTAAAAAAAAAAAAAAAAAAAAAAAAACTGCAAAAACTGCTCTGGCAGCGAAAGGGTTAAAGGCTGAAATAAGAAAGCATCAAGCAAAAAGCAAGAAAACAAGTACTGGGATAATATCCTCAAACCTCATGGGAAATAAAATACATATACTGTAAATATATGTCTTACCATATTCTAGTCCATCAAACCGAGCCATATTGGATGCTACGTCAGCTGTACACAGCACATGATAACACACAATGGAGTAGCGAGTATGAGGAAGCGAAACTTCAACTACTTTGGCTCCAGCATCTTCTAGCAAATCTGCAGTTTTTGACCAAAGTGACAGTGTTTCTGTAGATAAGCCAGGGGCATGGTATTCCTTCAGAAGCAAATCAGAAAAATTAAAATCACTGGTAAAATTGGCAGTTACGGAACACAGAGCAGACCTTTCATATTCCAGTGAATCGCCAGCCGCACATTTCCAGTTTTACAAGTAGTTATGAATGTTGAGTTAAACAGAATTGCCTTAATTGTATTATATGTGCTTCCATACTATGCAGTTTCAGTGATCTTCAATGATCAGATAGTAATATCTTCAGTGATCACAAAATGCAATAAAAGAGGTGGTTGCCAACCTCTCAGACAACTTCCCAAAGTAAACATGCTGGCGCCGGGGACAGGAAGACCGGCAAAAAACCGGCCTAGGCGAGGATGGTGCTGGATCCCTGGACAGATAAGTGTACTTTTATTAAAATTTTTTTGGGGGGACTTAAGATTCTCTTTATTAAAATAATTCTAATAAAAGACTGCTAGTTAGGTTGGAAAAATAGCATAAGGCAAATATTATCCTTTATTCCTACGCATTGTAAACTTAATAGACATTGGTAACATTTTACTCAGTAATGCAGACAGCATAAATATTGTTTATGCGTAACTCAGGTTTATGATTTCTTCAGATGTTCTTCAAACTAGCTTTTGTTGCTTAAAGTAGAAAAACATGTAATCTTTCATTATAATGCTACAAAACCTCATAATACATGCTTGCCAACATTGACAGGGTTACCACCATAGCAGCCGATGCAGATACTATGAGGCTTGGGGTATGAGTGGGGGATCAGGAGGGGTGAACTCTCTGTTCTGTACTTACCCATCTTTAGATCTACTTAAATTATGCAATAGAATTAAAAAAAATAATAAATAAACTCGCTATTTCATTGGTATCAGCAGGACTCCCTCCAACACTAATGAAACTGGGTGCTTTTGTCCTCAGTCTCACTGAAACTGAGGACTTCTGTTCCCAGTCCTACTGACACCAAAGAAATTGGGTGCTTTACACCAATGTTTTGGGGGGGGGGGGGGTCATTAGGGGTCTTGTGATTTCTAGGTGTGCCCTGTTTGTAAAATGACAGCTGGTTTAAAATATAGAACAAAAACACAGATTACCATTTATCAGCAAGTGGCAACCAATATATCCAACAAGAGTGGGCTTTGTAGGTCAAAAGCACAAAAATATTGGACCAGTAAATCTGGACAGTTGACAACAGTTTGTTCTATGTTCATTTTGTCCAATCCATTGTAAGTAAACCCGTTTTTTTCTTTTTTTTCCCAACAGCCTGTGTTTATGCATTTCAATCATATTATCGTGAAAGTTTGAATATTACCTTTGGAATCCCTACACAAAGATTGGTTACATCTATCACATCTGGAAGTGTAAATGTTTGAAAGGGATTTTGGATCGTTGTGGAGTCAAGAGGATCATGTCCAGCTAGCACACCTAGAAAACAAAGAAGTGTATTGAGGTACCAATATATTTTAAGATTAAAGTTGGGAATAAATATAATTTTTGTCCAAACATCTGTATAGTTTATTCTAGTTTGCATACATCTCTAAACACGATCTGTTGACCATTTTGTCCTTATAGTTGGAAACATTCTAACATACAAATAATTGAATTGTTTTCGACATACTTATGCAGGCCATACATGGGTCGAATGCCAAACGAATTTTCTTCAGAAAATTTGAAATTTTGTGCATTTTTGTAACCTGATGGTGCGACCATTGATTTAAAAAAATCAACCAATCAAGCCTTCAATTTCACCTCATCTTGCTACAGAAAAGAATTTTCGTGGCCAAGAATTTTCTTTTTTTTCAAGGTCACAGCTTATGCGAACTTCTTTTTTGTTTATATTTCCCGCACGATTCTCCCATCATTGATTCAAAATTTGTTTGTTTTTCAAAAAATTCCCAACATACCCGATCATGCAATTTCGACGGTCACACGAAAATTGTCTGTTTCTGTGACCCACTAATGGTGTGAAATTCGAACTAAAATTCTTTGAAAGAATTTTGTTTCCAAAATGTTTTCTGAGATTGACCCGTATATTGCTGGCTTTACCTGTAAAAGCCATTTCTTGGAGTACATCACGGGACACAGAGCAGGCTATTCATGACTATGTGGGTTATAGGCCACCTATAGGTGAATAGACAATGGCTGACCAATCAGAGAGGAAGTCCTCCCCCTATATAACCCCTCCTATACAGGAAGAAGCAATCAATGACACTCCAGAAAGAGGGGTGGAACCTCTGTGTCTCGTGATATACTCCAAGAAATGGATTTTACAGGTAAGTGTGTAGAGAAAAAAAATCCAATTTTCTTTATCGTACATCATGGGACACAGAGAAGGCTAGTCATGACTATGTGGGATGTCCCAAAACAATAAGAAATTTGAGGGGAGGGTGACACAATAATCTCTCAAGACCAACTCAGTCGTTCGTAAAACACTGCGGCCAAAGGCAGAATCCTCTGCGGTTCTGACATCCACCTGGTAGAATCTTGTGAATGTGTGAACTGAAGACCATGTAGCAGCCTTGCAAACCTGAGCCACTGACACCTGATGGCAGATTGTCCAAGATGCCCCCATACTCCTGGTGAAGCGTGCCTTTACCCGAAAGGGAAGGACTTTACTTTTCAAACCATAGGCTTGAATAACCAATTGGCAGATCCAATGAGAAATAGTCGCCTTGGATGCCGCCTGTCCCTTCTTAGACCCCTCTGGCAGCACACGTAGAGCATCTGACCTCCTGACCTGTGCTTTCGCCTTCAAGAAGACCCTTACAGCACGAACCACATCCAAGGTATGCAGATATCTCTCTCTTGCTGATGGAGGCCTAGGAAAGAATGAAGGCAGAACTATGTCCTGATTGAGATGAAAACCAGAAACCATCTTTGGTAAAAAGCATGGATGAGGTTGCAAAACCACCCTATCATGATGCAAAACCAGAAATGGTTCTCTGCAAGATAGAGCTGCCAGCTCAGACACCCTTCTCGCAGAAGTGATTATTGCTAGATACAACACCTTATGAGTCAATAGGACCAGTGAAATCTCTCCAATAGGTTCAAATGGTGGCTTTTGCGAAACCTTCAAAACCAGGTTCAAGTCCCAAGGACACAAAGGCAACCTGACAGGAGGAGCCATACGGATTACTCCTTGTAAAAGTGAGGACCAAAGAATGAGGCGCAATGGGCCTCTGGAAAAAAATAGCTAATGCTGAAACCTGGCCCTTAAATGGTACCACCAGTCAAATTCTTCTGCAACCCTGTTTGAAGAAACGACAGAATCCTGTCAATCACATATTTTTCGTGGGTGCTATTTGTAAACCTCACACCAGGCAATATAAGCCTTCCAGGTTCTGTAACAAATGTTCCTAGAAACTTCTTCTCTAGCACCCAATATGATGGGGATGACAGAATCAGACACTCCCCTATCCCTTAGGATCTGGGTTTCAATAGCCACGCCATCAAATTTAGCGACTGTAAAGATGGGTACAGTATAGGACCTTGAGAGAACAGGTCTGGACGATACGGCATCGCCCATGGCCCTACTACTGCCATCTTCACTATGTCCGCATACCAGGCCCTTCTGGGCTAGGCCGGAGCAATCAGTATCACTATCAACCACCAATTCAGACTCTGCTGCACCTCTGGAGACAGTGATATGCAGTAATCCAGGGTCAGAATCTTTTTGTTCCAAACAGACAAAATGTACCTTTGCAGCAGTCTGGAGTGGAATTGAGCATAGAGAATAACCTCTTCTTGAGGTTGAGCAGCCAGCCCCTTCATAAGGAGGCAGACTTTGGATCTGTCTTAGACAACATTTGCACCCCTGAGATCTACCCCTGGAGGTTGGGACCTGTGTGTGGCGAAACAACTGGTAGATGAGGGCCCAGCAACAGAAGCCAATGACACCTTAAAAGAAGGGAGTTTGGATTTCCTCTTAGAGGGTAGAAGAGGACTTTTACCCTCTGAAATCTTTTGGATATATTTGTCCAAATCTTCCCCAAACAGCCAGTACCCGTGAAAGGGAAAACCTGCCAACAATTTTTTGCATGGCAGTTCTGCTGACCAACTCCTCAAGCACAAAACCCTGTGCATGTGCACTGCTAAGAGTGCCAAGCGAGAAATTTGCTGAATCAAATCCTTAAGAGCATCAACCGCGCAAAACAAAGCATGCGGAACATCTTCCAAATCCTCAGCTGAGTATTCCCCCTGCACTGATGGTCTTCCAATCCATTGCTTGACACGGTCAGAAAGACTCTGGCAAATGCTATTAGCTGCCACAGCTGGCTGTGTGGCAGAACCTGCCAGGGAGGAGGCCTTAAGGAGAGACTCCAGTTTCTTATCTGCTGGGTCCTTGAAAACCTGTATATTATCCACAGGACATGTTAAAGATGTATTCAAGGATGAAACAGCTGCATCCACAACAGGCAACCCCCATTTCTTAACAAAATTTTGTTCCATGGAATACAAAACAGAAAACCTCTTTGGTGGAACAAAAACCCTGTCTGGGCGATCCCAGTCAGCATACATAATTTGCTCCAGAAGAGGATGCACCAGAAAGACCTGAGTACTCTGTGAAGGCTTCAAAGAGCCCAGGGAAGTATAAGTAACCTCAGGAGGTTTCTATTGGAGGTAGCCTGAATCCAGAACATACCATATCAGTGAGGTCTTGGACTAAAAATCTCAGACTGGGAGGCAGAGACCTCCTGCTTCTGCTCAGGCTGTGACTCCTCAGAAAGAAATTCTACTGCCTAACCTCCCTCCAGCTCTTCCTCATCCTCCACCTATTCCTACTCCAGGATTGGTGGTTCTAGTGACGGAGATCTATCCTGGTTTTTAGTCCCCTGAGAAACTGATGCAATTAGCCCAGAGATCTTCTCTTCTAAACCCACTAAGGGTGAAGCAAGAACATCCTTGTTTACATACAGTTAGGTCTATAAATATTGGGACATCGACACAATTCTGGCTCTATACACCACCACAATGGATTTGAAATGAAACAAACAAGATGTGCTTTAACTGCAGAATGTCAGCTTTAATTTGAGGGTAGTTACATCCAAATCAGGTGAACGGTGTAAAAATTAAAACAGTTTGCATATGTGCCTCCCACTTGTTAAGGGATGAAAAGTAGTGGGACAATTGGCTTCTCAGCTGTTCCATGGCCAGGTGTGTGTTATTCCCTCATTATCCCAAATACAATGAGCAGATAAAAGGTCCAGAGTTCATTTCAAGTGTGCTATTTGCATTTGGAATCTGTTGCTGTCAACTCTCAAGATGAGATCCAAAGAGCTGTTACTATCTGTGAAGCAAGCCATCATTAGGCTGAAAAAACAAAACAAACCTATCAGAGAGATAGCAAAAACATTAGGCGTGGCCAAAACAACTGTTTGGAACATTCTTAAAAAGAAGGAACGCACCGGTGAGCTCAGCAACACCAAAAGACCCGGAAGACCACGGAAAACAACTGTGGTGGATGACCAAAGAATTCTTTCCCTGGTGAAGAAAACACCCTTCACAACAGTTGGCCAGATCAAGAACACTCTCCAGGAGGTAGGTGTATGTGTGTCAAAGTCAACAATCAAGAGAAGACTTCACCAGAGTGAATACAGAGGTTTCACCACAAGATGTAAACCATTGGTGAGCCTCAAAAACAGGAAGGCCAGATTAGAGTTTGCCAAACGACATCTAAAAAAGCTTTCACAGTTCTGGAACAACATCCTATGGACAGATGAGACCAAGATCAACTTGTACCAGAGTGATGGGAAAAGAAGAGTATGGAGAAGGAAAGGAACTGCTCATCATCCTAAGCATACCACCTCATCAGTGAAGCATGGTGGTGGTAGTGTCATGGCGTGGGCATGTATGGCTGCCAATGGAACCAGTTCTCTTGTATTTATTGATGATGTGACTGCTGACAAAGGCAACAGGATGAATTCTGAAGTGTTTCGGGCATTATTATCTGCTCATATTCAGCCAAATGCTTCAGAACTCATTGGACGCCGCTTCACAGTGCAGATGGACAATGACCCAAAGCATACTGTAAAAGCAACCAAAGAGTTTAAGGAAAAGAAGTGGAATGTTATGCAATGGCCAAGTCAATCACCTGACCTGAATCCGATTGAGCATGCATTTTACTTGCTGAAGACAAAACTGAAGGGAAAATGCCCCAAGAACAAGCAGAAACTGAAGACATTTGCAGTAGAGGCCTGGCAGAGCATCACCAGGGATGAAACCCAGTGTCTGGTGATGTCTATGCGTTCCAGACTTCAGGCTGTAATTGACTGCAAAGGATTTGCAACCAAGTATTAAAAAGTGAAAGTTTGATTTATGATTATTATTCTGTCCCATTACTTTTGGTCCCTTAACAAGTGGGAGGCACATATGCAAACTGTTGTAATTCCTAGACCGTTCACCTGATTTGGATGTAAATACCCTCA